TGACTTGGACTGTGGTTCTTTATGTATTCTGATCACATAAAGTTGTGTGAAGGAATTTGGCTGTTTGTTAAGATCATTTGCTAATATTTTGAGGGGCAGTGGGCCGATAGCTTCAGGTAATTTCTCTGGAAATCCAATGATTCCTGTTGTACTGATTTGGTCTTAGATATACCAAGGCAGGAAAGCATACAGGCGCTTGGCATTTTATTGATGCGTTGGATGATGTACCTAGGTGTTAGTATTCTCTCTCCTTTTGGAAAGTCTTGGGGATACGGAATCAGTGATAACGAGAGCCTTTGGAATGACGGAGCCATGCTGATGCTGAGGTGTTATCTAGCTTGTGGAGTTAAGTTTGCTAGGGATTGTGGGGAGGAAGGATGTGTGGTTGGAGCTATTTTGAATTTCGTGAGTAAACCTTTCTGAAGTTTTTGATGGTGCTTGGTGGGTATTGATGATCTTGCTTCATGTGTTTCCGTGATTACACGTCGAGAAAACACACTCCTCATGACAATAATCATATACTGCAAGTACTTGACTTTGGCTATGTACGAGGAAGCTTTAAAGTTGTTTAAAGATATGAAGATCAAAAGCAGCAATGTCCTGTACTGATGTTTGGGCTCAAGAAACTAAGATGAAGTCAAGCTAATCAAAACCTTAGACGAACCAATTGCTTGACCCAAATGCTGTGAGGTATGACAAATATGTTGCTGCAAAGGTATGAAAGATCCATCTGTCCCTAAGCATTACTGATATTCATATAATAGTTCATCGTCCACGTAAGTTTTCACCTCCGAGTTCTTTTGGGTTAACTCACCAATTATTCAGTTTGTCGGAGATATTCACCAGCCTCTTCATGCTGAGAACATCGATGTGGGAGGAAATGCTATCGCTGTAAATTGGACTGGCAAAGATACTAATCTTCATCACGTTTGGGATTCGGCCATCCCCGAAAAGCTCATTGGGGGTTATTCAATGAGTGATGCTCAAGACTGGGCAAACGTTCTAACATCCGCTATTAATACGGGTGTGTATCAAGACCAAGCACAATCATGGCTCGAGGGTATGGATATAAGTGATCCATTGACAACGGCCCTGGGTTGGGCTAGAGACTCAAATGCTTTTATCTGTACAACGGTCATGCCAGGTGGAGCAGATGCGTTACGGGGCAAGGAGCTGAGTGGTTATTATTATGATGCGTCTGTGCCAGTTATTCAACTACAAGTTGCAAGGGCAGGCTATAGGTCAGTAATCCCAATTACTAATTTTGGAAACACAATTCTAATTATACTGAAAGGTTGGCGGCTTGGTTAGACATGATTGTTAGTGGGTTTAAGACAGAGTTGTAGTGGCCTCACTTCTGTTTTGTACTTTGAGAACATTATGGGAACTTTCAGAGGGACTAGAATGAGATATTGTTAATGAGATTGAAACAAATCACTGCGAGATACCAAAGCAAAGAGTGAACGATACTGGAATAGATAGGGGCTAGATATCCATAGAATATTAAGTCTTCTGCCTGACAAGATTAATTCACCACAATTTAACAAAATGGATTATCGACATCATGGCCACGTGGTAAGTCTTGAACAAGTGACCTGAAACGATCCTGGATCTTGAATTCATCATGCATTCAAGTTGACGATGGAAGTCAGTGAATGAGATTACGTTGGAGACCAAGGAATCTGCCCAGATTCAGCAAGCCTCGAGTCCAAGGTTAGTACTTTTCCAGGGTATCTCAAAAATGTCTCATAGAGCATTGAGAAGATGCTTAGACCAAAACAGACGTTATTGTTTGTGAAAGATAATGAACAACCGGTATATAAGCGAAGGAAATCAGACGAGAAAGAAACCAATACACACTCAAGTGAATCTCGCTTAATCACTCACATTCAAGGTGTCCATTCAGAGATTTTTCCTAGCAGGAACCCATGTTCTTGTCTTGTCATGTACTGGAGACCATCAAATAGAAATACGGCCTACAAATCGGAACCGCATTTTTTTAAGGATAAGATTGGTGTAAATAGCATTATCCCTATTCGCCTCTAGATCTCACAACCAACTACCTCGACAAACTCACAAAACATTTTTCTGCTTCTACTCAATAACTCGCAGTATCTCAAGACCAAATCTCTCGAGCGTGCCGTATCTTGGTATTTTAAAATAATATTTCCCGGTATCCACCATCTATATTCATCCATCTCTCAAACTTCCAGATCCCACATACCGAAAACCTCTTTGGTACCACTCACAAATTACATGCACTATTTCCACCATTACTACAAGTAATTTCTCACAGCTCCAGCTGCCCTACTCACCTCACCTTTTAATCGATCAACTCCGCAAAATGCCCAAGACTCGCAACTCCGTGTCGCGAACAGCACGCTTCCGGCGAAAACCATATTCACATCTTCCGGAACGAGCACCTCTCCCTGATCTGGTTGCTTTACATGAGAATGGAACTTTGTTTTCGGATCAGAGGGCGATGGTCGAGAGCGCTACAGAGGAAGAAGTTGCTGGAAATCTGAAACTTAAGTCAAAGGGTGAGTTTAATGGTATGCATTTCTTTTAATTTCTCGCTGTAAAGGAGGAGGGGAATTCTATACATATGAACGTGACGAATACTAATAGACAACAGCAGTACAAACACAATCTCACCCCCAAGCCATATATCCAGAGTCCCAAGCTGGAGAAGGTGAACTTCCCAGTTCAGAGAGTAGACACAATACACCCTCGCACCTCCCAGAAAACGAACATCTTACCTATCCACCTACTCCCTCAAACCCCCACTCCAACATCCAGCATAACCACCCCCCCTCTTCCAACCCATCCAACCAAAAACCCCCAAGCTCAATATCTCCTCACTCCCTCCGCCAACGTCGTCGCGGACTCCCCGATCTCCGCGTCATCACATCACCTACTCTTCTAGCCGAGCTGAAAAATGGAAATTTCAATAACACATTTATGGAAATCCCTCTTCCTGAGTTAAAACAGAGAGATTCGGAGACCCAAGCATCACAGACGCACCAAGAGCTTCGCCTCTACAACCCCATCTCTGAATCCCAAATGCACAGAAATAACCGGAGGGATCAAGAGAGGAAACATCATAATCGCAAAACCCGCCATCACTACGCCCCCAATTTTCCCAGACAACAGGGAAAAATCCGCTTGCTCACAGATGGACCTCCCCGTCCTGATCCTCGCACTCGATACTCGTTCATACCCGAATCTCCAGATACATCGCAGCACACGAGTAACCCCAACCCCCCCTCTAACTCAACCCCCATCCCAACGCCAAACCCAGGAACCATTTCCTCAAACCTCATGATCCCATCAACTCACTCTCTAAATCCCTCTCCCGCACCCCCACAACTCCTCCCCGCACCCCTCACCAACCCCCTCACACCCACCCAATACATTTCCGCCATCCTCTCTCTTCGCGCCTCGACCCGCAATCCTGATTATTTCCCCTTACCACCTGGTATCCAGTTTTTTGGAAATTTGTCACAGCAGCAGAAGAAGAATAAGAAGGAAAAGGAGCAAGAGATTAACTTTCTCGCGCTGCAGATGGAACAGGTGGAAGATGCGATACGGCTTGAGGGGGCGCCGGAGGAGGCGAGGGAGGTGTATTATGCGCAGTTTGCGAGGAGGGAGGATTGAGGATGGGGATGGGGACGGGGACGGGGAGGAGGGAGAGAGGGAAGATGGGGATGGGGAGTAGATGTGGTTCTTTTTATAGAAAAAAATTGGAGGGAAGGGGGAAGAGGAAATCCAGAAAAGTTTGGAAAAGCAAAGAGAATAATAAAATCCACAAACTTATCAAATTACATATATCTTTTCTCAAACAGTCCATCCACAAACAATAGGTAGACATCTCACCATCTCACCACCTCCTCGTCCTATCCACGGCATCTCCAATCATCCCCCCTCCCCCCCTTCCCTTTTCAATATTCCTCCTCTTCACTACAACTACAACTACATATCCTTATCCCACATCATCCAACCCCACCGTTCCCTCCCTTTCTCTACCCGCTCACCCCCTAACCTCCTAACCCCCTAACCTCCTAACCTCCTAACCTCCTAACCCCCTCACCCCCTCACCCCCTCACCCCCTCACCCCCTCACCCCCTCAGCACCTCACCCCCTCACCCCCTCACCCCCTAACCTCCTCACCCAACCACCCAACCATCAACAATCAAAACACCCCCTCCTCCCCCCCCCTACTCTTACAAACCCAAAGTACTAAACCATATAAATCTACTCTCAAATCACAAGTCACAAGTTGCAAGTTGCAAGCCTCAAGCCTCAAGCCTCAAGCCTCAAGCCCCTATACCTCCTCTATTAGCTCCATCCATCAACTCCATCCATCCGTATGTGATTTCAAGTCCAGTAGTATATCTCACTAGTATCGGTACGGTTCCTAAGTAACCATCAAGTCGAATACAGTCTAATGTATAGTCTACTGAGAGAGACATAAGACTACCTTTTGGTTATCCAGAAGTGATTTAGAAAGAAGTCTTCATCTTGTGTGCATTAAGGTTTCATTCAGACACAATTGGCATCTAGTTCGAAGTAAATAGGGGCAATTAAATATCAATCAAGTTCAAATTCGCATACACATACTTCTCGGCTCTTGGATCACCAATTATTAAACTTTCCATAATAAAAACATGCATCTCGAAGTATCTATTCCCGATCTATCTTCTAATATGCGGTGCATACATGGTAACTAATAAAATTTTGTCTTAGACCGAAACTCATAATTTCAATCTTGTTAAAAAAAAAAAAGAGATTCGTAGTCGAGGTAAAAACGAATAAACGCCAAAGACCATACACTATGATGACGACCAATTAAAGTGCCAAACCATAAGTGAAAAGTAAAAACAAAAATAACTCGAAAATTTCTTTTCGTGACCCGAGTTTCCTTTGTCTTGCCCATCCATTTTAAATATTTCGTCTATCCACAAACACCAACCACCATCGTTCATCTATGACGTAAACATTTATTCATCCTCATCGGTGAATACCTCCTCTCCTCTCTTGCGGCGGGCCATACGGTCCTTCTTCTTCTTACGGAGTTCAGCAGAAGAAAGCTTGGCCTTCTTCTTGGTGGAGACAATCTTGTTACCCATCTAAATAAGGTGTTAGTGGATGTTCAATAATAGTGTAACAGTTTAAACTTACGGCATCGAATTTCTCCTCTTCTTCGGCATCGTCTCCCTTGAGACGGGGTCCAGATCCTTGACCTTGTACCCAGTTGTGTCCGGATGCAACCATCTTTCCGTCCAATACAGCCCAAACTTCCTCAGTGATGTTCTTGGTGAACTCAGCACTGTGAGTAATGATGATAACACCACCCTCGAAGCTTCTGAGAGCCTTAGACAAGGCACCGAGAGAGTCACGATCCAAATAGTTGGTAGGTTCGTCAAGAACGATCAAATGAGGACGTTGCCACGAGCAAGCAGCGAGAACGACCTTGACACGTTGACCTCCGGAGAGACCCAACATACGGGAGTGAGAAACCAACTCAGCATCCAAACCGAAGTTGGCGCAGTGCTGTTCAATCTCCTTTCTAACCAAAGGTCTGAATTGACCACTGGCAAGAGCCTCCTTTTGATCAACTTCAGCAACCATCTTTTGATGAGAAGCCAAGATCTCAGTACGTGGGATCCAAGCGTTGTCTGCAGTCATCATAGGAACCCATCTCTCGTTCTTCATGCCAACGTTCTCTCCGAGAGCGAACGAACATTCATACTCGTAAGAGTTCTTGAACTTACGACGGGAGTGGATACCGATAACACGACGTTGAGTACCTTCGATCTTGTAAATCTTGTCCATAGCCTTCTCATCCTCATCAGTGACAATCTTGTTGGCTCTGTCCATGGTCTCACGATCTTCACCAGTTTGGAAACGCCATTGAATATATTCGGATGGGGTCTTCTCGAGATGGTGATCGATGTGGGCGAAAGCGTGTTGTTTAATGTAGGCGATACGGATGTTCTCGTGGGTGTAAACCTCACCTTCAGTTGGGATGAGTTCACCAGTGAGAACGTTGATCAAAGTGGATTTACCAGCTCCGTTAGGACCGATAACGGCAATACGGGAACCGAGGGAACATTGGAAGGAGATGTCGGAAATTTGTGGTTTTGGAGTACCTGGGTATTGGAAGGACATCTTGCTGACACGAACAATAGCCTTGGCCTTGGTCTTGACACCCTCGAGGAAACCTGGCTCAGGGAACTTGAATTCCATCTCGGAGGCACCAAGCTCGTAGTAAGACTTGGCTTGTGGGCACTTCTTGACGAACTCCTTCAAGTTACCACGATATCTCTTGAGCTTGTATCGCTCGTAATGGATAATGTGTTGACAGACGTTATCCAAGAAAGCGGAGTCGTGGGAAACGATGATGGAGGTACATGGGGAGTTTTGGAGATATTCCTCGAGCCACTTGACGTTCTTGACATCCAAATGGTTAGTAGGCTCATCCAAAAGGAGAATATCTGGAGACTCGAAAACAGCACGGCAAAGAGCCAACTTCATCTTCCATCCTCCGGAGAGGGCAGTGATCAAGTTGTTGGTCATCTCTGGGGTGAAACCGAACTCAGACAATTGCTTCTCGACTTCCTCTTGGGAAGTCTCGACACCAACCTCCTTAAGCTTCTTCATGGTCCAGGCAATGGTGGTTTGCTCAGTATCAGCGGAATCGAGATCGTGCTCAACGAACACGGTCTTGACCTCGCTCTTCTTTGGGAAACCCTCAACTTGCTCATTGTTGATAGCACGCATGAGAGTAGACTTTCCGGAACCGTTAGGACCGCAAAGACCATATCGTTGACCACGCTTGAGACGGAGATGGGTTTGGTTAAGGAGAATTTTGGCACCATACGCCAAGTTGAAGGTACAGTTGCAAAGGTCCTCACCCTCCTCATCATCGGCCTCTTCGGCGTCCTCAGCCTCGGCACCTGGGGAGGCACGCTTGCGGAGGTTGTCGACAACTGATTGAGCATCCTTCTCACCAGTAAGTGCGACGGCGAATGGCTTGAGGTTGGAAGTCCAGCTGTGGGAGTCAGCATCCTTTTCATCGATGAGTTGACCAGCAATGGCGGCGATGTATGTGATGATTGGCTCGAATTTGAGAGCACTCTTGTTGGAGCTAAGGACATCCTTGAGGATGGCCTCAACAGTGGAAACTTGACCAGCGTTTGATGGTTCTGGGATCTTTCCATCAGCGCCGACGGCACCGACACGCTTGATGGTGTCAAGACCTTGCTTGGTCTTTTCACGAGCCTCAGGATCAGCCAAGTTCTCGTAGTTCTTGATGAGACCTGGCATCAATTTTGGCAAGAAAGCAGCGACAATGTTGGGGTCCTCGACCAACTTGCACATGTTGTCAATGATGACAGCGGACTTTCTCTTGATGGCAGTCTCACGCTCGCTAAGACCACGATCCAAAAGAGGAACCATGATAGCCAAAGTTGGCTCATGAACGTCAGTGACGAAAGTAGTGGCACCGAGCAAGTGAATGGTCTCTGGGACGTTCTCTGGCTTAGCGATACACTTGATCAACTCTGGAATGAAACGTTCGATATCCTTGTTGACGATAAGGCCGCAGACCTTCTCCATGATACCGTATGCTCTCTTCTTGACTTCTGGCTTGGTATCCCACATAGATTCGGAAACGACTGGGATAAGATCTGGAACTCTAAGAGCCAATTGGGTTGGTGCTGACTCGACGAGAGCCTCGATACAGTCAAGACCGGTCATCTTTTCGGGCCATTTTTGAGCTTCGAGGATGGATTTGATGATAGGTGGGAGGACTGCCTTGACAGCATTTGGGTTGACAGCCTTAACGATGGCCAAGGCAGCTGCTTGTGCGGCGTTCTTGACTGGGACCATCTTGTCACCAACGGAGTTAAGGACGGGGCCGAGGAGGACAATGAGGTATGGCTCGACGGCGGCAGAGACTTCGGAGTGCTCAGCAATTGCTTGGATGGCATTGAGAGCGCGTTCTCTGACATTAGCATCCTTCTTGTTTGCCAATTGCTTCTTCAAAGCCTCGACGGTTCTGCAAAGGACACATTGTTAGTAAAGCTGAAAATGAAAAAATTTGAAAGAAGATTTTAGTGCGACCGTGAGATTGCATATCGATGTGAAAAGATGAATTAGAGAATATCTCAAGTGTGAAGTCTTTGACAGATATTCAACCTGATCCATTCCCTTCCTCCTCATCGATGAAAATTTGAACGTTGAAGTCGGAAATACATACTTGGTGGGGGCATCATTCTCCTCGATGTTACCATTAATGAAAATGGCGAGGTTGTGAGTGGCAGCGTTAATGTCAGTCTGCTCTTTCGAAACAGACAACTTCGACATTAAGTCATCTAAGACCTTGATCGAGTTCTTGTTTTCAGCCATCTTTCCTGTTGTTGTTGGGTTCGATGGTGTTTCGATAGAAGGCATTGTAAAAGAAGAGAAGAAGAGGGGGAGAAAAGATGTCGATAAGGATTTGTGGGAATGAAATTTTTGCTTAGCGCGAAACTACCCGTGGTAATCGGTGCGTTGAGAGTGGAGAAGATATTGTAATCTTGATATATGATTCGACGATAAATTGAGATAAAGTGGGCAAAAGTGGCGGAGAAGAGAGAGAGAGAATGATTTCGATAAAGAAACCCTTTATTTTTCTATTTCTTTCTCTACCGGTATTAGATTTATTGAGAGAAGACTTTTTTTTACACTCTTTTTGTTTGTCTCTTACTTGATATTCAGAGAACAAAAAGAAGACAGAGGATGTGTTTTTTTTAAAGGGAAGAAGAGTGAAGGAAAAGAGATGTGATCTTCTTCAGAGAGAGGAAGACTTTTGGACCCTTTTAATTTTCTGAAGTGGCATTACTGATAAAAAAATTATTGCAAGGGTTTTCTCTCGCTTATTTTCTTAGCTTGATTGTTTTTGAGTGGCGTCAGAAAGTGTGTGGCGGCAATTGAATCTCGTTGGTTGATATTAGGTATATTGCTGAATAAGCACAAGTGAATTGGGATTTTATTTTTAAAACATTGTTACAGTTGTATATCTGTACATCTGTACGATACATCTGTCAATCTATCTGTATACGCCAATGATATTCTACGAACAACTTCGAGCGCAGCGAGCTTGGGGGTTTGGGGGCTTGCCACCATGAAAGATGATTGTATGTAGGAATCCCTCTCATATACACAATCAATGGCGAATTGTATGGTTCTTTCTCATGAGATATATAATCAGCATGTTAGGGAGTATTCCTAGGTAATATTACATTGTAATAATGAATTATATTAACCTTCCACATGTAACAAAACAAGTATAGTATCAAATCTGTATGGTGAATTGAATATATCTACGAGTGCCAGCTAGTAGGTGTATTCTTCAACGCCCTTCCTGCAAAGTTCACACAGCCAATACATTATTAGATCGATCTACCAGTATACCGAATCGGTTTGGCTCATTTCAATCCGGCCAGATTCAACTCAACCATCTTGGGACACGTACGGAGTGAACTGAACGAATCATGACTCGATAGGTAGGCATTTGATAGGATGTGTATAGCGGCAATACCGTAGGGCGAAACTTAGTCGGAGGCTCATTATTGTTTTTTTTTCTTGCGTGAAAACTCTTCTAGTTAGATATCAAGTATGTTACCTGAGGTATTCAATATGAAAGATATCAATTATGGTATTGAAATTTCTGATATGCAAATTTCTTAGTAAGGTCTTATGAAGATTCCGGATAACAGTAGGTAGAGGGGGTCAGAATTGAGGCGAGAGATTGTGGGGTAACGAAAGAAGGGGGAGAATTGCTGCAGGGAGATAATATAAGTGACAATGATCCATCCACCCTCCTCGGTTGGATGAAGATATTTTCCATGCTAAAGTCAACACATTTTCCAAGGCTGTTCAATATTCTTATCCCTACTGGATATCTACAATGAACATTAGAGAGGTTCTTGGTACCTGATTTGCTCTAAAAGCTGGGTAGACAAAAAGACATGCTCACTACTCGGTAATCATCTCTGTACACCCAAAACACTCAGCCCCAGCCCCAGGACATATTATCGGGTCTAACCACAGCTACCTCGACCAAAAATTAAAATCGGCGGAAAATATCAGCCTTCAGTCAGTCAGCCAGCATAGACAAATCATCTGAATTTGGTTTGCATAACATATCTATCCTCCGCCACCACTATCACTCAGACAGAAAAGGGTTCCCTTCCCTCGCTCTCTCCCTTACGTGCAGAGAACCCCCTGCATATAGATTTATCGTAAGCCGATCAACAGGATCCCCGTGTTTCCCCCAGACTTCCTTCGTCTTGAATCCTTCCAGATTGTCTCCTAGGATTTCAATATACAACACCTAGTCTTTCTTTCTTAGCCCTTAAATTTTGGCTACTCGCAAAGTTGCTCTCCCTGAAAGCCTCGGAAATGTCGGATATAGTATTGTGAAGCGAGCCGATTCGGATGAGAATAGATTTTAGTACTTTCCTCTTGTACTTGGGTCTACCGTAAAAACTCGACAAACTGAGATCCTACTTAATCGTATTTAGCCTAGCATATTGCCGATCTCCCCAGCCGGACTTATTGAAATCCAACATTTTTTCTACTTTTTCTAATCATTTACATATTTAAAGCACATGAATTATTTTTCGAAATTGAAAATTAGAAAAAAAATTGATTTTGATTTCTTTTTATTATTAACTATTAATAAGATCTTCAATTTGAAAGCAAAATATTGATTACTTATTTAATAATAATTTATTGAAGTTCTTCAAAAGAATATCTCTTTAATTTAGTTTGTGGGGTGAGGCGTTTATACTAGGCTAAATGCGGTTAAGTAGGATCTCAGTTTGTCGAGTTTTTACGGTATCCCCTTCACTGATATAATTTCATGTACTGAAGGTTGTGTTGTATATTCATCTGTTCTGTCTGCCGATTCATTTCTCTTCTGTCGTCTCCAATTGTAGTCAACTAAGTAGTTATCTACAATGTCACTATTCCAAGCGGTCTTGAATGAAAACAAACCTCCATATGCTTCTTTAAGGTTCAATCTACCGAGACATCCTTCCATCACCTATTCTGTAGTTTCATCGGTAGTCCATGGCATTGGCATAAAAGCACCTAATTGACAAACGCCCGGTCCCGAGCATTTACTTTGCATCTCGTGTCTGTGCTGTGACAATTGAAACGAAGTAACCTTGCTGACTCCTGAAGCTTGTTCGCTTTGAAATTCTTTGAACTCCGAGATTTACCCCACATCCATCTTGAGGAAAGAACCTCAAGAGGCAAGAGAAAATCACGTGTAGTCGCTAAACAATTGATGCCTCAGACACACAATCGAACTTTCTTCATCTACCTACTCACGCTACTCTGTGCAGTACCGAGTACCTTTATACAGACGTGGTTAAATTTCTATACCTAGGTAGGTAGATTTCTGCAGCTGTCGGGTATTTCTAAACCAAGATAAAATGCCAACACGAATATAACGCTGCTCGCGCTGTTGACGGTGAACTGCCGCATTATCTATTACGCATCATGTATTACCCATCCGTTTATGGCAACGTTAGACGTTATCACAATGTCAATATTCTCCATCTTTCGGTCCCGAGACCATTCCAATGTTCAGAGTTTCCATCCCGATGATGTTACATTTTTTGAAACATTTAGATATTTCGGAGCTTTACGTATCCCGGTCCCACCTCTTACGAATAGTTCAAAAATGTCTTCTCTCCTTTAACTTTATTTCAACGTGCCAAGATATCTAAGATTGTCGGAGCTTCCTTCGAGCCCATATTTTGAATCTTTCAACACGTTTCATGCATTAATCATAGGAAACACTCTTCCGTCATCTAAATGCAACTTTCAACTTGTACAGTGAGCGAGCGGCATATCGCTATATCTGGTAAGTGATTTATGTTTGCTAATCCGTATCCAATCTACAAGACACGTTCGTGGTACACCGGTGAGCCTCTTACATGCTTGTGTCATACATGTGACATCGATATCAGATACATAACCTAGATATGAGTTCTAGATCTTGAACGATTCGTTGCGGTATGAACCTTCAGTGTCACCTTCTATACAGGACTTTGACATGAGCTTGAGGATTCGATAAAGTGGGTCAAATACATGGGAATTTACCAGGACTTAAGTTCGGTCCCGAGATCGTTCACTTATAATTTTCAACTCCGACGGCTGATCTTTCTTGATTGCGGCCATTAAATTGGCACCCTTAAGGAACCTGGAGCCGGGAATTCCAGCTTTGCCACATTTGATTAGCTGCCGATGGGTTTTCATCCTCTTCTCCGCCAATAGGGATGCTAATATTATCTTGAAGGGTACTATCACAAAGATCTCACTGGCTCTGTGCCTTACAGATTATTTGTATCTTCGGATATTCGATAAAATTCTAAAGCCCGATCCCTCATTCGATTGCATCCGTTACATGGGATGAAGTGGACGTGTTCATACCAATATATGGCTTAGTCGTCCATTCTGGCTACCTTCTTTCATCGGATGATCAAATCATTGATCAGATAAACCATTTGTCCCCAATCTATGGCTTCCTATCGAGGAAACCACTCCCGCAGTGGAGACTCTGCACGTTCCATGGACTCTTCATTTCATCAATGAACCTGGTCTGAAGTATTAGTATCTGCGCCTGACATTTTGCTTGGATAATTTGAAGAAAGCCAAGACACCTACAATGCATAGTGGATTAGTATTCGTGCTTTGAGATAGGTATTTAAAGTCGATCTTATCTCCTCGGAGAACTTCCTCTCCTCATCCCCTTCTTTAACTATCAATATTACTTAGCTTTTGTCAAGGACAAGGAAGATGCGTTTCTCTACAGCTACTGCCCTTGGCATGGTCGTTGGCCAGGCCATAGCTGGTGTTTGTTCATATGCTGATGCTCAAGAGAAGAGGAGCGCTTGTCCTTATGCAGGACGAAGTGTCTCTGATACTCCCAGAGAGCATTTCCCTCGTGCTGGCAGTGGTGCAACTCCAGGCAAAAAGGGTGTCATGTTCATGAACAGAATTGCACCATCCGTATCCACTCTATACATCGCCAATGCAGATGGAAGCAATGAACGTGAACTTCTCGGAAACAGCTCTTCCTACGATTATCACGGAAACTTCACTCCTGATGGAAAGTATGTTATCTTCACCACTGAACGTAACGGAGATGGACAATCGGATATCTACAGAGTCAAGATTGATGGTACCGGATTGGAATCTTTGGTTGAAACACCATCTTTCGAAGATGCAGGTGTACTTTCGCCCGATGGAACAACACTTGCTTATGTATCCACCCAAGGAAACTTCACAGCAAATATCTGGGTTAAGGATCTCACTACAGGAGTTGCATTTAACCTAACCAACACACCTACCACAGCTGGTGACAATGCCCTTCCAGATGGTCATTTCCGTCCTTCTTTCTCGCCCGATGGAGAGTGGATTGCCTTTTCCTCCGACCGTAACACCGCCTGGACCGGACATAGCAACGGTACCGGTTGGGAACACACCCAAGAACTTTCCGTCTACAAGATCCGACCAAACGGATCCGACTTCTCCCAAGTTGTCACCAAAGCTGGTTACTCTCTTGGATCGCCAAAATGGAGCCCAGACGGATCCCGAATTATCTTCTATGAGATGACTAGAGAGAACACCTACAACGCCCACATGACTTCTGTCGACAGTGCTGAGACACAAATCGCATCCGTAGATGTTGCTACCGGACTCGATTATGTTTACCATACCTCTGGAGTTGGATGCAAAGTCAATGGCCAATTCGTAACTGCCGATGTTGTCGGTTTCAATACTAAGGGTTCAACTGATGACAACATTGGTATCAACTACAACGGCACCGGCGCCGCGAACTACACTACCATCCTGGGCGATATGCGCAACCCTGCTTGGTCTCCAGACGGAACCCTGGTCATCTATGAAAAGACCAGTTTCACCCCCGTCCGTGCAATGGAGAAACCTTTGTACAGTTGGGACGGCGATTTCGAATACCGCTTCACCGATGTCTTCCCCATGCTCTCCAAACAAAACAAATTGGTCATCACTCAAAAGCAACTCGGTAACTCATCAATTGTCACCATGAACCCAGATGGTACCGATCTCGATCTGGTCTTCGATGTCTTTTCCACAAACCAAACCTCATCCGCAGATACTTCTACTGGTCTTGCAGGTGCATTCCAACCTTCTTGGACTGCCGATGGCGAATGGCTTACCTTTGGACTTGGATACTGGTTTTTCGAAAGATCGATTGAGCCAGGTTGGATTTATCGCGTTACAGCTAACGGTTCTCACTACGAGCAATTGACTTTCGGAGAAGCCGGTGTTTCCAATGCAGGATTCCCATCTTACTCACCCGATGGAACCAAGATCGTTTACAGAGAGTGCGGCCCCGCTCCTTTGTACTGCATCGGTCTCCGCATTCTGAACCTCGCTGATGGTACCGTCACAAACTTGACCGATACCTGGGATAACACTCCTGGTTGGTCTCCCGACGGAGAGCGCATCGTTTTCACCCGTCGTAACCATCTCAACTTTGACGATCTTTCAGCGACCGATTCCTACGACGTTTACACCATCTTCCCTAACGGAACTGGCCTCACACAAGTAACAACCAGTGGAGCCAATGATGCTCACGCTGTTTGGTCCGCCGATGGAAGAATTTTGTACAGCAGTGGAATGTATGGTTTCAGAGAGGAGAGTCCTCTTTACGACAATGCCTTCCAGCCCTATGGACAAATTATCTCCATGAACTTTGATGGATCAAACAAGACCATGTTGACTGATAGTATGTGGGAGGATAGTATGCCTCTTTACGTTCTCAATGATGAATTTTAGATAGGCGAAGATAATGAGGAATGAGATGGTTATGAATTTATAATGAGAGGAGGAAAGTGGCAACGGGGATGAAAAGAAGATGAGAGGAGAGGAGAGGAGGAAAATTATGATTCTTGTTATTTAGTTTTTTCAGCGAATATCCAAATTCAATTTCTTCATGCTATGTTAAATGTTCTTTCTATTCTATCTGATGAATTTCTAATACATAGACTATAACAATCTTATCTATGCAAATATATCTTTTTTTTTTTGTATATTCATCTTCACAATCTCCGACCCCCCCCCCCCCCCCCCCAAGAACATCATACCCATCTACTCTTCCACATATAAATTCATCTACATACCCATCACCACAACCATTACCATCAAACCCCCCTCCCGAGTCCCAACTCTCAACCCGAATCTCCCTCCCCATCACCAAATCTCCACCCACACATCTCGGTCCCCGAACCCAAACTCCCGAAGTCCCGAGAGTACCCCCCTCTCCCTCCCCGCGATTCTCCCGCCCAGAACCAGAACCAGAACCAGAACCAGAACCAGAACCAGAATTTCTTCCGTTTTCATTTCCAGATCCATCGTAAATCAAGCAATGAGCAAGGAATCGAATGCCTAGTAGACGATCTTTAATTCGAACATAACAAATCTATTTATATATATATATATCTGAGCCTCTATCGAAAAGGATTTTATAAAAGGAGGGGGTGTAGATCTGCTTTGCGGTCTTGTTTATTTTGGGATGTGAGTATTTGATTTTTGATTTTTGATTTTCGGGACCGAGGGTTTGGGGGGGGGGGGGGAGATGGGTGGATGGATGGATGGTTTTATGGCGGTCTTTTGGACATGCGGAACAATGCGATACCATATTGTGGATTTGAATTTCAATTTGGATTTGATGATCTGACAGCCCCCAAGAAGATTTGCGTCACGATGCTGAGATGCGGAATAATACTAGGTACTTATGAATATGGTTCCGAGCAATTCTACATCATGATGTTGAGATATTGCTAGTGGGTGATATGTTTTGGGGACTTTTTTTAGATTGCGTTGTCTTAGAGCTTAGATGATGAATGATTGTTTGTTTATACATAATGGATAACGGAAAGCTGATAAGTGGGAAATGTTGTGTTGATGTTGTGTTTATTAGGTGATGTGATGTGATATGATGGTCCGATTGGTATATTTGGATTTTGGTTTTGGTTTTGGGAGAGGGGGAGTAGATAGTATAAGAAATCTGAAATTTGAAGACGAGCTTCTCATACTATCAAATCAGAATTTGGATATAGAGGAGAAAAATCATGAAGAAAACCGGCTTTGAAGATTCCTATTGTATCTTCGTACAGTATAATGATACAAATTCATGAGCATTCCCTTCAAGATTTCCAGAGGCAAGGAGATTGCATCGTGATCATTTTACAATATATCTTGCGCTTTCTAAATCTACATTCTCCAACTTCCTGTGTTATAGCATAGCGTGGTATATATCCATTTCCCTGCCAATAGTGTGGTGCAAACCTAGTGAATCTTTACGGTACATATTGAGTGAATACCTAGGTAAGTAATGAATACAAGAGAAAGTTGCATTTCTCATGCTCGTTCGTTTGTGATTTATTACTTTGGATTATGAATAAATAATAACCGGTTCGCTCGAGTCTAGCACTCTCAAGTATTCATGGTCTGTTTACCTACTGGTTCATACTAGCAGAATTTAAGAGTTTCTTTTCGCGTCGAGGAGTTGGGAAAAACTGTTTACTACCTTTCATTATGAATGATTCTGACTTCAATTCTAGATCTTTAACGCCATAACATACTGAATCAAAAGCTCTTCCTGTATGCTGTCTATATAAAGTGTTACAGAAATCATACCTGATCTGGGATTATCACATATGACTGAGAGCTAATGTGGTATATATGATGACGATCGAGATCATGGTTATGATTGCGAAGGAGTATTATGCGGACATTTTCATGGTATTGACTCTTCGGTCAATATGAAACGTAAAAGTGCCAAGTAGCAAAGAGGAAGAAAAATTAAGGGGGATGGATTTAATAATCACACGTTCTGCGCGCGATACTGTGGTGCTCGCTCAGCCCAAGAGCTTTCGACTCGATGGCACAATATGAGGAGGAAGAAGATATAATATTGTATGATCTCGATATATTCATGTAAGACTCACCAGTAGGGTACATATAGGGTACTGGTAAGTTTTCACTCCCTATAACCTATTCACCGAGTGTAATATTTGAGGAAAGGCAAAGTCTCCCGCCTGAAAATTTATAGAACTTCCTTTAAAACTCTAGTCCAGATCATTCATGAAGTTGGGATATCGGGAAAAATTCAAGTCGATTCATTGCACTTGATTCTCCCCCTTCTCCTCTCCTTTCCTCGCGTCCCTAGACGTCTCAGTGTCTTGGTTCTATGACTACTAGAATAGCAACTTTCCACCGAAGGTACATCACACTTTTTCTTTCCCTATAACTCCCTAATTACCTTTCCCAAATCCTCTATATCCTCCAAATACGCATCATTTTGCATTCAATCACCTCCTGATCCTCATTAATATCATCCGTCCACCTCCTACAAAAGACCTAAAAGTCAGTAAACAATATCTCAAATTTAGATTCCCAAACCCCAATCCCCAAAATCCCAACACAAACAAACAAACAAACAAACAAACAACCCACTGACTTCACATAAACCGTCCTCATCCCACCTCCCTCGCCCCTTTCAAATCATTCGTATGCACCATCACCATAACACATTCCTCCGGATCCAAACCCAAAACCCGCATCACCCACTCATAACTCTCTCTCCGGTTTACACACCCCCACCAACTAACTCGAAACCAACATCTCAAAACCTCCCTTCAATTTCGCCGCTTCATCAAATCGAGCTGTAATCGTGTAGAACCATTCGCGTGAACGAAAAGTTCACATTCTCATATTCTTTCCCGTCAGAAAGAGATTTCAGCGCGGAAGAACATCAGGCTAGGGGATTTGATGATGCAATACCTGGACGAGGAATTCTTTGAGGGGGGGTGTAAAAGAGGGGGACTAGGGGAATAGGTTGGACTGAGGAGGAGCGTTTCTAGGGTGGAGAGGTGTATGAGATTGATGTTTTTGACGGGGATTGTGGGAGATGCGGGGTGGTGGTGTCGAAATAGGATTGGATTTTTGGAGCGAGTGAGGGGGGAGGAGGGATGGGATGGGAGGGGTGGAAGATGTGGGAGGAATGAGGCGTGCTATTTTAGACCTGTGCCTATGAAATCGAAGAGGATGGCGCGGATTTGGGGGGTCGGTGGAGAATGTCATTTTTTTAAACATGTATTTTTTATGTTTAAGAATTTATCTTCCTCGATGATGAGTAAGATGGGAGTTAAATTCGGAACTGAACAGTTGATAGATATAGAAGATTCCGTATCATCACTTGATATATCGAAATCATTATCCATATATCATTATGAAACAAGGCTATATTTATATCCCTCCCCATATCCCTCTCCATATCCGCTTTGTCACGAACACCTAATACAATTAAAGTGAAAAAATCATAAAACATCAAGTAAGCCCTTCGCTTGAAAAACAGATTGAATGATATCATTTATGCCGACAATTCCGTAAAGATATATCTTTACCTACCTATTTACTTACCTAGATATTCACATCTCTCTTTCCTATTTCTCGAATATCGAAAATATAAGATCGTACAAGCCACCCGAATATCTCCATCTCCATCTCCATCTCCCACTAAAAGCAAATCATCTAATCATATTCGAAATACACATCTCACACTTCCCACATGATGATCTCACAACACTACATGCGATTCAAATCAGCGGAAACAAACAGTGAGCATTAGCTACCTAGGTAGGTAGGTATTGTAAAAGAGTAGAAGATGGTAGATGGTAGATGCAAGTATGTGAGCTATTAATTTTGCTTAACCAAAAGTTGGATCCACGGACAAACCATGAAAATAAACCAAATCTGATATATTGAGCCGACTCCAACATCATGGTTCTAAAAGTTTGTTCGGTAGTACTTGTTTGATGCTGATTCGGTAAGGAGAATGAATGAGTTGGTTTCGAGGTATCCGTTCGCAATTATGCATATATTGTACCAATTGTTGGTAAGCTTACTTTGCAATAATGCAATATTTAAAATGTCAAACCGAGAGTTTCTCTCTCCTACGAAAACATCACAATTACTCCTGCCTTAGATATAATACTCATTAGAAGCCCTCTATTCTTTTACCTCCATCCCTATCACGTTCCTACCATCTTCAAATCTTCGAATCCTGAAATTCACCTCTACCACCACCTCAACCTTCCATCCCCACCAAGCAACTCCCCAACCATCCCATCCCATCCTACCCATCCTACCATCCCCCCACCATGCCCAGCCCCCTAGAAATCCAAACCCACCTCACCCCCCTCCTCTCCCCTCACGCAACCATTCTCCTCCCCACCCATCCCTCCTTCCCCCCTCTCCTCGCAAGATGGCGAGAATACTCCAGCCCAGACATCATCCTCATCATCCAAGTAACCCACGAATCCGACGTTCAGAAAATCGTAAGTGTTAAGAATTCCTCCACATTCCCATTCCAACCACTCCATATAAAATACGTCTAATATACTTCCCATCCACCCAATTCATATACCAACACAAACCACAGATCCACTACGCCAACCAACATTTCATCCCCTACATCGCTCGAGCCGGCGGTCACGGTGCAACCCATGCTTTCAGCCAAGCGAAGAACGCAATCCAGATTGATTTGCGCACCATGAACCACATCACACTTTCAGATGATGGCCAGACTGCCACGATTGGCGGGGGCGCAAATGTAAAAGATGTCGTGGATACACTTACTCGATTAGGAAAACGAACTGGTAGATTCGCCTCTCCAAGCCATCCATGCCCCAACAACCAAGAAAATCCAAACTAATCACTCAACCAGTAACCGGTATCTGCGAACTCGTCGGATTCTCCGCGCCCGCTCTGGGGGGTGGTCATGGTTGGCTTCAGGGCCAATATGGACTCATGGCCGATCAGGTACTTTTCGCCCGTCTCTTGCTGCCTTCTGGTGAACTGGTCACTGTATCGGAGAAATCGTATCCGGACTTGTTTTGGGCCATTAGAGGCGCGGGACATAATTTCGGGTTGGTGATGGAATGGGAGTATCGTGTTTATGACGATATTGCCCCGTTATGGTCTTATGAAATCTTCATTTATTCAGGAGATAAACTCGAGGCTCTCTATGAGGAGGCGAATAGATTGTTGCGAGACCAACCAGCGGAGCTAGTTCATTGGGGATATATTATCAAAGTTGCAGAGATTGATCCAGATCATGTAAGTCGCTGCCCAGACGCAATTTACTTGAGATTGTTCAGAAGCTAACAATTTGGTAGCCGGTACTGTGGTTCGGTATCATCTACAACGGCTCCCCCGAGATAGCCAATCAATATGCCAAACCATTTCATGACATCGGACCGCTTAGTGTACAGACCGGCCAGGGATCACTACACAATCTTGCCGTCGTCACATTCCAAGACGCCGATGGTCCAGGATGTGCTTACGGAATGACATCCCTCCGATATCCCATCGGATTGAAGTCATACAACGTGACGGCCGTTAGACAGGTATACAATGAGATCGACTCAACATTCCGCAAAGTTCCAGAGATAGCTGGTTCATTTTTCTTGCTCGAAGGCTACTCGACTCAAGCAGTTAAAGCCATCGATGCAGCAAGCACGGCGTTTCCGCACCGAGATGATAATATCTTGGTTACATCGTACGTCATGTATGCGCCTGACTCGAACATCGACCCGAAAGCAAAGGCATTTGGGGAAAAGCTTCGAAAATACTTGTTGGATGGAAGTGACGATCCAGCACATCTCCGCGCCTACGTCAACTATGCCGATGGCGATGAGTCTTTACAGGCGATCTATGGGTGGGAGACATGGAGATTGGAGAAATTGAAGAAACTTAAAGCTCAGTGGGACCCTAAGAACACCATGCGGTATTATGTTCCTATTGAACAGAACATCAATTAGTTCTCACAACTAGCTTAGAACTGTATTGTAAACTCGTCCAAAGATAGTCAAAGAATCAGTATTGGCAAGAAACTTGCCGATGATCACTGTGCCGCTCACCACTGGGACTGTGCATTCTGCAAACGAAGATATACCTACAAAAAATGCCAACCTAAATTTCCCCATTAAAGTATAATTTCATGATTCTATCTAGTACCTCCCGAGTTACTTAACCAATACCAAGATATAACTACACGATGTCGTGATTACACTATAACCACCACAAAGTCGACAATAGGCAATAAAAAAAAGCAGATCCGACGAACTCCATCGAACAGCAAGGCCGAGCCAAACCAAGCTAGAACACCAGAACGAGACTTAAAGTCATCCACGTCAAACTATCAACGTCAAAGTCATGGATGATGGCATATCTATCCGTCAAAGTTCCATCAAAGATCAAAGATTCAAACTTTCTTCAAACTTCCCGATATATATGACACTGTCTCTGATGACGAAAAGCTCAAAACGAGTTTTGAAGTCAAATCATCGACGTCAAATCATCAACATCAACTCACCCATCAAAAAAAAAAAAAAAAGACATATCCAAGCCAAGCCAAGCCAAAAACATCAAACTTTCTCCTCTCCAAACCATCTCCTCCAACCTTTCATCAATCATTCCCAATATATGCGAGTGAGTGAGTACCACTCCAACTCACATCACAGTCTCTAATGACGAAACCACAAACTCAAAACTTCCCTCTCTCTCTCTCTCTCTCTCTCTCTCTCAAAATTAAAATAAAATAAACATCATTCCCCATCCACCCAAGTCCCCATCCCATCCCCATCCCTATCCCTGTCCCATCGCATTATGAAATATTGAAATTCAATTTAAAGTTTCAACGTTGTTTGCTTGTCTTGTTTGTGTACTTGTGTGCTCCAATTATTTTCTCTACCGATCGCATACTCTATATTATGATATATACCTAGTATATTGATTTGTATCGTAGATTCGAAAAAGTTTGGTACACACTACCGGTATTGTACTTACAAATAAATGTAAGACTTACGAATCGATTCATGTGGTAAGTGTCTGTGAGTTCAAGTTCAGCGGTTCTGATTGTGAATTTGTGATTTCAAATCTCCGAAGGGGGTTGTTTGTGTATGGGGAAGTGGAGGGAGAGAGGGAGGAAGGGAGGGAGGAATAAAATAAATATAAATATGAATATGAATATGAATGTAAATGTAAATATAAAATTGCTGGATACGGATATAGGAAGGGGAAATGGATATAGGGATGTATACATATGGATTGGAAAATGGTAGATTTTTCATTTCGTCTTTGTTTTTTGTTTTTGGTGATGGTGTGAGAATGGGAAATGGGGGAATCGATGTTGTATGTAGATGACGATGTATCTTTTCTCGTATCAAGCACAAGCACAATCGACTCTTCACCAAGCTCCAAGTTCCAAATAAGTAAAAATTGAGGATATCTCCACCCACTCACCTACCTACCAATCTACGTACCTACGAGTATCGTATCCAATCATCAATTCCCAAACTTCCCCTCTCAAAAAAGCTTACAAATATTCGAGTTTACTCCGTGATTCTCTACTCGTACTCGCAGACAATTCAAATGCAGGAAAACCATACCAAACCAGTCCGATTCAACCCATCCAAACCCAAGCAACCCACCCCTCAAATCCTTGCCTCAAAAAAATAAACACACCACACCATGCACCTCTCATGATTCTCATCCCCATCAAGCGTGACCTCTTCACATTTTCACATTTTCACATTTCTCCCAAAAACAAGCCAAGGCCCTTCCTACCTAGTACCAACCCAACCTACCTAGTACATACCAACCTACCCAACACCTTTCTCGCACCTACCTACCCATCCACCTATCCCATCGGAGATAAACCAACCAAAAAGGAAAACCTGAGCATAGGGTTGGGCGATTTGATGATATATAATATTGTATATCGCTCAGTCAAATATAATATGTAATATTGCTCAGATTACATTATATATATAACTAATCATAAAATCCTATAAAACCCTATAAAACTCCTATAAAACTCCTATAAAAAGCTATTTTGAAGTTATTTTGAAAAAAAGATAATTAGTGTATAAATCACATGATTAGCACATGATTAGCACCTGACTTTTGGATCTAATTATATACTAAATTGAAAATTAAAACTCATCAAAAACTTTTTCCAAATACGACCCACTTTCATTCATCCTAATGGTTTTATTGGCCCGAGAAACACGTGCATA